GATTCAAGATGGATCTGGGGCTGACACTCTGTTCTCCAAACTCTTTTGTTTCCAGTGACATGATAAGGATTGACCTTTTTTAAAGAGTTCGGAAATAATTCCAGAATCTGTGTTCTTTATGTTTTCCAAATTTATTTTGACCTGAGGCACATTATTTGTGATGGTTATCTATACCTAATTATTACACTTATGTATAAGTACATTATCTCACTTGCTCACCTTTTTTCTTAACCTAGAAAGTTTCAATATTTTGAAAGTTTATAATAATTTATCTTAATTCATTTAATGATTTTTTTTCCTTAGCTGAAACACATTAGCTGTCAAGTCTGCTCAGACATTATTCAGAAAATGGATTAATGGGTACTGTGCCAAACATTTAGTATCTCATGAAGACACCAGAGAGAGAGAGAAACAATTATTGTTACATAGTAATTTACTCTCTTTAAAAATATCTTTTTAAGCTGTGATTTTAAGCACACTGAGAGTGAAATAAGTTCTATAAATGTAAGTAGATATATGGCTAAATAAACATTCACAATTAGACTACAAATGTACTATTTTCAACAAGGACCACTACTGTAGAGAAGAGTCCAATGGGCTCAATATTTCAATTGGTTCAATTTTACTCTTTAGTACTTGCCAGAGGAAAAACAATTCCTCACAGATGCATTCTTCTGCATGCCCCAACATAAAAGCAATCTTCTCCTACATAAAAACAATCTCCTCCTATCTCCAGGACGAGATAAGTTAATCATACACACCTGGCAGCTGGCAAGACAGGGCTCCACAAAGCTATGATTGCCAGCCACTCCTAAACCAGATAATGTGATGACCCAGCAGCTAAGGGAATCCCCAAGGGAAGACAAATGGTTCGAAAGAAGAAAGAGTTGACAATAAGGGAGTACCTGGCATGGAAGGGAGACAAGTTATATGTTCTAGCTTACCAGAGAACCCAAATCCTTCAAAGAAGTCATGATGTAAACCCTGCAGGCCATTTTGGTTTCATAAAAACTCTCCATTTGGCTAAGAGGCAGTTATGGTGGCCTAAGATTAAGGACATAGAAAGCTATGTAACAAGCTGCCTGGTGTGTACATCCATGAAACAATTGCCATGGAGACGTCCTGAATTGCTGCAATCAGTGGCCAATCCTAACAATCCATTATCCATTATTGTGGAATTGTCCAAGAGTGCTGGGAATACCATGATTTGGACTGTGATCGAACTGTTCTCAAAGCAACCACACTGTAAGCATTGGACTTTTCCCCTTCAATCGAAAAGAATGAACTTCTGAAGACCAGGTGTTTCAAAAGGAATCCTTTATTGAAAGGGATTTTATCTCAATACTAGGCAAAGCAGAGTCTAAGATATCCCCAGGCATACAGTCATAGATAAAGGAAGTTAAAATCCCTTCCCTTATTCAGATATGAATTTAGTCAAACAAAGAACCAACATGTTAATTCCCCCCTCCCCTTCTCTGGGAACGTATCTTAGCAAAGTTCCCAGGAGTATCTTCCAGAGCTGGAATTTTTATAGTTCCTTCTCATCTTGTTATCTCTTCAAGAGGTGACAAGTTTCTGGATATCTGGCTCCACTCCTCCAGTTGTATATCATATGCAAGTTGTACAGAATCAATATAGGATTTAATATATTCAGGTTACATCTAAAAGGATTACTTGTACCAACTCCCCCTTCCTTCTTTCATTGAAGAATGGCAGATACACAGATCTGACATCCTGCCCTCCTCAAAAATTTCATAAATCCACCTGGAAAACATAAGAAATGTGTTACATTTACAACTTAGGATGATTTGTGAGGGTATTTCAGGTGGAACTTCCATAGTAATGTGGGTGCTTTTACATGTCGTTTGGCTACCCGCTCATTTTCTGAGAAAGGAAGGTATTTCCAAGCTACTAAATATTGTGTGGAACCATGGTGAGTGCATTCTTGGCCTGTGGCTACCTGAAATGAGGTGAAACCAGTGCTACTGTGGACCGAGTTGTTTAATGCTACCTCTGCAAAAGGAAGGAGGTCAGTCCAATTGTCCTGTTGGTAATTAATAAAGCATCTTAAATATTGTTCAAATATGCTGTTTGACCTCTCAGTCCCACCATTAGTCTGGGGGTGATTTGACAACGACAACCCCTGGGTGGAGCCTAATAGGTTTAAAAATCCCTGCCAAAATATGGATGTGAATTGTACACCCCTATCTGAGATAATCCTTTGGGGAGCCCCATGAAGGTGATAAATGTGTGTTAAAAACATCTTTGCCAAGGCCTTGGCTGTTGGGATCTTCTGAAATGGTACAAAATGAACCTGTTTTGAAAAAAGATCAGTTACAACCCAAATGACAGTATTTCCTGCACTTTCAGGGAGCTCCACTATAAAGGCCATAGAAATCTCTTTCCAGGGTGCTGAAGGATCTGCCACTGTTCGTAAAAGTCCAGGAGATTTCCCTTGTCTTCTTTTTGCAGCAGCACAGATGGCGCAACTAGCAACATAGCTTTCAATGTCCTTTTTGAGAGATGGCCACCAAAATTGTCTTTTGATGAGGTGCAGGGTTTTTACAAAGCCAAAGTGTCCCGCTATTTTTGAGTTGTGGCAACGTTTCATGAGGTCCATCCTCTGGCTGGCAGGGATGTACAGTTTGTTTCCTACTCAGGCTAGACTACCTTTGAGTAAGCAAGTGTTTTTTGTTAGCTTGGAGCCAGTCGTCCTAAAGTAGTGCCTCCTTAAATATTGAAGTTGTTACATTGTCAGTCAGTGATTCTTTCTTCTCTTGTGCCTGGGTGATTACTTTGGCTGCAAGTTGGGTTGGTTAAATCATGAGTTTCATAACTTCAATCTTTTTGCTGTTGTATTGGGGTTTCCTGGACAGGGCATCTGCCAAGAATTTTTTCCTCCCTGGGAAATATTTGAGAGTGAAATTAAACCATTTAAAATATTGAGCCCACCTTGCTTGTTTTTCTGAGAGTTTCCGTGGAGTTTTCAGGGCTTCTAGATTTTTATGATCAGTCCAGACTTCAAAGGAGATTTGATTCCCTTCCAGGAAATGTCTCCATGTAAGGAGTGCTCATCGCACAGCGTATGCCTCTTTCTCCCATATGGCCCAGCTTTGTTCGGTGTCTGTCAGTTTCTTGGAAGTATAAGCACATGATTATAGCTGTCCATGTCCATTCTTTTGGAGTAGAACTGCTCCAACTGCTACATCGCTAGCGTCTGCTTGGATGACAAATGGTTGTTCAGGGTCTGGGTATTTCAGGATTGGTTCTGCTGAGAACAGTTGTTTAAGTTTTTCGAATGCCACTTGGCATTCCATCGTCCAGGTAAGGGGTTGCCTGGGTTTGGGTTTCTCCCCCCCTTTCATTTTTAACAAGTTCGTGATGGGGAGGGCGATATTTGCAAAAGCTGGAATGAACTGGTGGTAAACGTTTGCAAAACCCAGGAAGCTTTGCAGTTATTTGTAAGTATGGGGTGTCTCCCAATCGATGAGAGCTTTTACTTTTTGTGGGTCCATCTCTATTCCCTCGTGGGATATTCTATATCCCAGGTAGTCAATTTTTTTCCTGGTGAAATTCACATTTAAAGAGTTTTACGTGTAGTTTGCCATTTCGGAGTTTTGTGAGGACTGCATGAAGTAATTTGGTGTGATCTTCTTTTGTCTTGGTGTAGATTAAAATCTCATCATGATAAACGAGAACTCCTTTGTACAAAAATTCATGGAGGGCCTTGTTAATTAATTGCATGAACATGGCAGGGGCTCCTTGTAACCCAAAAGGGAGCACTTTAAATTGGTAGCATCCCAGTGGGGTGTTAAAAGCCATCTTCCACTCATCCCCTTCCTTTATTCTAATGTGGTAGTATGCATCTCGTAGGTCTAACTTTGAAAAAAAATTCCTTTAGCGGTGGGCTAACATATCCTCCATGAGGGGGAGTGGGTACATATTCTCCACACAGATGGCATTTAGGTTTTGGTAATTCACACATAGATGCAAAGAGCCATCTTTCTTTTTGTGGAATAATACTGGGGCTGCTATTTTTGGTCAGGTAGGTTCGATGAAACCCCTTTTTAGATTTTTATTGTTAAATGCTCTGAGTTCTTCTAGTTCTCTGGGGGACATGCAGTACATTTTCGATTTTGGAAGTTTAGCCTCTGGTAGGATTTCAATGGCGCAGTCTGTGGCACGATGGGGTGGTAGTTCATCAGAAGCCACTTCACTAAATGCTTGGACTAAAGCATTTGCCTGGTATTCCTTGGGATGTTAATGGGTTCAGCCAGCTGACTGGCCATGGCTGGTTCTCTATTCCCTATTCCCTTACTTTTCCTTTCCTCTGGGCAGTTTGCAAATGCTACATGTTTCTGGAAATGTATGATTTCTCTCTTCCAGTTTATTTTTGGATTCCATTTCTGTAGCCACATGAGTCCTAGTACTAATGGCCCTTCCATTTCTGGTGCTACAGTGAATGTGAGCATCTCACTATGGTTGCCTAGTCTTATTTTCAATGATTCTGTGGCAAACCTGGCTCCTCCCCCCCCCCCCCCGGCTATAGTTCCATCTAATTGGCAAAAAATGATGGGATTTTCCATTTTCTTGAGTTGGATTCCCAATTTCTCTGCTAGGGAGGGGTTGATTAGACACCAGGGGCATCCCGAATCCAGTAACGTTGCCACTTCCTCCCCCTTCCCTTGGCTGGAGATAAACAGTTGTAAGGGTAGGGTGATTGGTTCAATTGGGTCGCTTACCAGCGGGTCATCTTCCGGATTGCTTTCGGACTGGCTCAGGTCTTCTCAGGGCGTTGGAGGTTCTTCCTCTGGGCTGGGGGGGACCGGAACCTCACAGCTTCTCAACTTCTCAGGCCAGTTTCTTTTCCTCGAGGGTTGGGTTTTCCAGGATTCTCCCTGATGGGTGGTCTGGCTTTCTAGCAGGGGTTTTCAAATGGCGTTCTGCTATGTGGTGCCGCTCTCTTCCACACTTAAAGCAGCCAGCTGGTCTTGGAGTCATGGTGGTTTGGGGTTTGAAAAATTCCCGCTTTCCCTGGGATGGGGATCTTCTCCAGACTTTGCCACTGCGGTACTGGGTTCGGGTCATGTCTATCTCCGCCTCCTCTACAATCAGGTACCATTCATGCAGGAGGTCTGGGGCCCCACGGGTCAGGCAGGCAGCATACAGGTCGTCATTGAGTCCATCTCTGAACCAACAGACTAGGATATCTTCTGGCCAGTCGACTGGCCCAGCCAGGTCACAAAATTCCTCGGTGTACTCAGCTACCGGGCGACGGCCTTGCTTTATGACTCTAATACTGTTGCAGGCTTTTCTATCGGTGTGGGGGTCTTTGAAGCAGCTCTGGGCCGTTGATGTTGTGGAGAGTCACCATCCATCTGGTTGCTGCCCCTTCCAGGGCCAGGATAACGACTCACACTCGGGCCCCCTGGGTCAGGAAATTCCACCCGTATTCTTACATATAGGTGAGGACTTGCACCAGGAAAAATCCCAGTTTCTGGGGGTCTCCATGGAATTTTTCCCCCAAGGGTGGGACCTTTCTCTGCAGTTGTATGTCCTTGTGTTGGGGCGGGTTAATCCCCTGCTCTGGGGTGGGAGGAGATCGGGTACCTGATATGGCTGCTGGATCTTCAGCTTGTTCCTCTGCCCAATCATTCTCAGCTGGATTGGGGTGATGGCTCAGCTTCTCCCAATTTCTGGTTCCCTCAGTCTCCTACATTGGTGGCCCAGTCCATCCCTCACATTGAGGTCCTCCAGGGCTTCTTTTATGAGGCCATTTATGTACCGTTTCAGTCGGTCATCTGCCGGTGGTTCCTTGACCCATTCTCCCTGATCCGATAGGGCCTCCAGCTCCAATTTTCACCCAGGTTTATGGTTGCCCCGGGTGAGGGTTACTCCCTTGGTTCTTTCATCCCAGCTGTCTCTCTTTCCTACACCAATAGACCACAGGGGCTTCATGGAATTTTCGCCAGATGCTTCCCTGTCTTCGATGGGGTACACCAAGTCGGTGTCTGGCTGGGTAGATGTTGAAGTTTCTTCCCAGCATTCGGCTTCCCCTTGCTCCTTGCTATATTCAGACATTTTTGCAGGGTCCCCTCTGTAGAAGGTTTTTTTTTTAAAAAAAATCCTCTCCGGGATTAAACTCTATTGCATACTCTGCTTTATGTAAGCATTGGACTTTTTCCCTTCAATCGAAAAGAATGAACTTCTGAAGACCAGGTGTTTCAAAAGGAATCCTTTATTGAAAGGGATTTTATCTCAACACTAGGCAAAGCAGAGTCTAAGATATCCTCAGGCATACAGTCATAGATAAAGGAAGTTAAAATCCCTTCCCTTATTCAGATGTGGATCTAGTCAAACAAAGAACCAACATGTTAATTCCCCCCTCCCCTTCTCTGGGAGCGTATCTTAGCAAAGTTCCCAGGAGTATCTTCCAGAGCTGGAATTTTTATCGTTCCTTCTCATCTTGTTATCTCTTCAAGAGGTGATAAGTTTCTGGACATCTGGCTCCACTCCTCCAGTTGTATATCATATGCAAGTTGTACAGAATCAATATAGGATTTAATATATTCAGGTTACATCAAAAAGGATTATTTGTACCAACTGCACCCCTTCTTCTTCCATTGAAGAATGGCAGATACACGGATCTGACACACACTTCATGACATACCCAAAGATTTCTTCAGCCTACTTATTGGCTGCATGGAATCCCAAGACACATTTTCTTGAACTTGAGGGGGGTGCAATTTACAGCAAAATTCTGGCAGCAGTTTGCAACACTAATAGGCTACTCCCATGAACTTACCTCAAGGTTCCAGAGCGACAGAACAAGCTAACACAAAGTAGACTGATACTTACATTGCTATGTAATTATCAGCAGGCTAATTGGGCAGAACTCCTGCCTTTCAGGAGTGGTTTATAATAATTCTGTGCATAGTAGCACTGAGCTCACCACATTCAATAAATCACTAGATGTGCTATGTTCCTTCCTGCTTCAAATGCTCTACTATCATCCCAGTGCCAAAGAAGCCCTCCATCAAGGAACTGAATGACTACAAACCAGTTGCTCTAACATCTGTAGTTATGAAAATCTTTGAAAGGCTAGTGCTGTCCCACCTGAATACCATCACAGATCTGCTGTTAGATCCCATGCAATTTGTATACCGAGCAAATAGATTGGCAGATGATGTTAATATGGCTCTGCACTACATCCTATAACACCTTGAATCTCCAAATACCTATGCAAGGGTCATCTTTGTAGACTTCAGTTCAGCATTCAATACCATCATTCCAGACATTCTTCTAACTAAATTAAACCAGCTAGCGGTACCTGAACACACTTGTAAGTGGAGCATATGCTTCCTAACAGACAGGAAGCAGCAGGTGAAGCTAGGAAGAATCACATCTGATACCTGTACAATTAGCACAGCCCCTCCCCCCAGGTTGTGTACTTTCTCCACTTCTCTTCTCTTTATATACCAATGACTGCATCTCAAATGATCCATCTGTTAAAATACTGAAGTTTGCAGATGACACAACAGTGGTTGGTCTCATTCGAGATAATGACGAATCCACATACAGACAGGAGGTATAAAACTTGCCTCATGGTGTAACTGGAACAATCTGGAACTGAACACACTCAAATCTGTAGAAATGGTGGTAGACTTTAGAAGAACCCCCCCCCCCATACTACCACCTCTTAAAATATTAGACAACACGGTATCAACAATAGAGACCTTCAAATTTCAAGGTTCTATCATATCACAAGACCTAAAATGGACACCTATTTGTGTTGGAGGAACATTCTGAAATTAAGAAAATACTGGAATCAAGATATTTTAAGGGGAAATTATAATATTTAATGCAGTGGAAAGGTTATCCCTCAGCTCATGCTGAAGGGAGTAACTGCCCACAAAGTTGATAGACCAGCTAGTAATAGTTTCATGCTAAATAACATCAATATCCAAAAGAACCATTCAGTGCTAAGGATTTCTGAATAATGATGTCGGCATGTTGAGATTGAATCATTTATTGCCTTCTAGCTCCTATTACTTTTCAACTTGCCAATGATAAGGGGAGAGGGGTTGGAATGTGTAGGGAGGAAACAGGATGCCAGGGGCAGGATATACCGGTGCAATTGGGCATTGTGGGGAGAGGCAAATAGATCGATCACCAGTTGCCCAAACCTCCGCACTGCTTCCTGGAAGAGAGACAGGTGTAGACGCCACTCTGCCTGATCTATCCAGGCCCTGCTGAGCCAGTCCGCTTGTGTGTTTAAGGCCCCTGATATGTGCTCTGCCTTGAGCAACAACAGATTGGCCTCAGCCCACTTGAACAACCTGGCCATCTCCAGCATCAGAAGTTTGGAGTGGGTACCCCCCTGTCTGTTAACGTGGGCCTTGGCTGTGATATTGTCTGTCAAGACCAGAATGTGGCATGATTGGAAAAGGGGTAGAAAACTGCGTAATGCCAGATGAACTGCTCGTAGCTCCAACAGGTTGATGCTTTGTGATTGTTCTGAAATAGTCCAACTTCCCTGTGCAGTGTGGGATTGGAAGTGAGCTCCCCATCCTACCAGGCTGGCATCGGTTGTAATCGTTGCCCTGCAAGGTTCCTTGAAAGGACACCCCTTGTTTATCATATTTTCCGACCACCAGCGGAGCGATCGGAGAACATTGTGTGGTACCTTTATCCAGACGTTGGAAGTGGGTCTTCCGGATCACTGGAAAGGTAGCAGGAACCATTGCAGATCTCTAGAATGGAATCGAGCCCAAGGCACAATGGAAATACAAGAAATCAGTTTCCCTAACAGTTGAGACCGAACTGCCAGCGAAACCCTCTTTAAGGCTCTGATCTCTCTGGCCAAAGACTGGATATTATTCAACCTGTCCTGAGAGAGAAAAACCTTGCCCTCCACGGTATCTATCACTGCCCCTAAATGAACTAACCTAGTTGAAGGGATCAAATGGCTTTTATCCCAATTTATGGAAAAGCCGTGACCTTGAAGGGTCTCCAGAGTAATCTTGGTATCCAAATTTGCTTGATGTCTGGAAGATGACAAAATTAAAATATCATCCAGATAACACTGTAAACAAATAGATTTGATCCTGAGGGAGTCAGCCAAAGCCACTAGGACCTTGGTAAAAGTCATAGGGGCCGAAGACAGACCAAATGGTTGGGCGATATATTTGTAGTGCTGATCACAATAGCAAAATCTAAGGTATTTGTAGTGAGCAGGTCTAATTGGTATATGTAGATAAGCCTCTGTCAGATCTATAGAGGTCACGACATCATTCTCTCTGATGCTGAGCAGAATGTACTGGAGAGTAGTCATTTTGAATTTTCAATAAACCAATGATCTGTTCAGACGTTTGAGGTCCAGAATTGCCCTCCAGCCCCCCAAACTCTTTGGGACCACAAACAATAGAGAGTAACAGCCTTCACCCCGTTGTTCAGATGGGATCTCTCTAATGGCCCGAATATGCAGAAGATGATTGATAGCCTCCTGCATCAACGCTCTCTTAATGGGGTCCATGGACCTAGGTCTCCTAATGAAAAAGTTCGGAGGGGAGGATTGAAACTCTAGCGCCAAACCAAACCTAACAGACTCCCTGACCCACGCATCAGAGGTGGACCTGTCCCATTGATCATCAAACAATTTTAGCCGCCCTCCAATGGGAGCTGCTGTCAAGGACTCACTTGGGGCGACGAAAAAAATGGCCTCCGGTACCTCTGGGGTTTCTTCTGTTTTGGCCTCCCTGCTGACCTCTATCGGAAGATTTAGACCTATCCTGTCTAAAACTGGGCCTGTAGCCTGATGTTCTCTGAGATCTGGGAACGTATGGGCCTTGATAGTAGGGCCGAAAGGAACCCCTTTGAAACGACTGGGGCTTTCTGTTTTCAGACCTCCGAAAAAGAGGGGGAAGCACTTTTTTCTTGTTTCTATTCTCTATAAGGAGGGGCTCCAAGACACTGCCAAATAATTTATCCCCCGATATTGGGGCTGATGCCAGCTTGCATTTATGCTTGGTATCTGCCTTCCAATGCCTGAGCCATAGCAGTCTCCGTGCTGATACGTGAGATGCTATGGCTCTAGACGAGAATTTGACTGCATTAAATGTGGCGTTGGGAGAGAATTCTGCTGCTGCAATAATCTCAGCAATGTCCTGGTGGGCTCTGACATTTGACGCCGGCAATATATCCCTCAAGTGGAAGAGCCATTGTAGGGAGGACTGTGTAAAAAAGGATGCAGCTGTAACTGCCCTAATGGCCCAGGCATCAGAAACATGCGCCCTACGGAGTGCCAACTCTGCTCTCTTTTCCTCCAGTCTCAGGGCTTCCTCGGCCTTGTTGGGAAAGGTTGAAGAAGAGGCCAGTGCCACAATGGGCTCATCCACCTCCGGCGTTTTGAGAAAATTTGAAAAATCTGGTGCCAAATTATAATAGTGTTTATCATACCCTGTTGTGGCTGGGTAGGATGCTGCTGATGCCCATTGATTTTGTACTAATTCAGCAAACATACAAGGGACAGGAATAGTTTCTGCCTCATTAGCCAGTTGTGAGAATATTAGATCCTCGGATTCGTCCTGAGACCCTGTTCACAATGGATGAGGGCTTGATGTGCCTAGTTTAGCGGTGTTCTTTGCTTTGAACAGTAAAGATTTAAAGAGGTGCGGACGAAAAAGGCCAGAAAAGGTAGGTTGGTCTGGAATGAGGCCTTCATCATCCGACATTCCTCGTTCTAGTAGGTCAGCCTCTGACAACCTCAAGTCCATCTGATGGATAGACCCCACCTCCATGGGAACATCCTGGTCATCTAATTCCACCTCCTCCCAAAGACCCTGGGCTGATATGTCAGGGATATTGGGGAATACCTGAGTTTGATGATGTCCCATATGCGCAAAGGATAGAGCAGACAGGGATCCCGCTTCCGAAGTAGCCGAAAAGTGTCTGGTCTGGATGGATTGCTGAACTCCAGCTGCAATGCCCTTTTATATGGCTATCTCCATCCATTGCCTCATTTCGATGGGAATAGTCTCAGGTAATCCCTCCTCCTGTCTTAAATCGGCGGCCGTAGGGGTGAAGGTTGCCTCTGGGATTTGCCGGGCAGTGCTCATTGGAGGAGATATGCCTATGGGAGGCTGTCCAGAAATAGCCTGTCTGAGCAGGGTGGATAAGTCCAAGGGCCCCAACAATGTACTTGGGCCCTGATCCGATGTTGTGTCGTAGCCATCTTGTCCACCTCCCTGGCCCGTTTCTGCCACTGCCTTTCCAAGGCTTGGTGCCATCTATGGGCATCCTTATCCACCGCCTTAGAGGCCTTTTTGGGGCCCACTGACTTATCTCGGGACTTATTTGTCTTGGAGCAGAAGATGTCACCTTCCATTGTGGAGGACTGAATCTCGTGTCTCTAACTTTAATTTTTTAAAAAATTATTATTATTATTATTATTAGTAGTAGTAGTAGTAGTAGTAGTAGTAGTAGTAGTACTTAGGGGTGGTGCTTACACCTGTGGTTGAAAGTAGGGTGCTTCTCCAGGAGTGTAAGTCTATATATATATCTATATCTATATACAAACACACACATATATACATATACCTATATCTATATGTAAGCCCGTATATATGAGAAATAGTATCTAAGGGCCCCCAGCAAGGGAAACTCCCCAAGCGCTCCAAGCAAGAAATATTCAGTATCCCTGGTCCCCAACAAGGGAACAGCTATACAGGTCCTGGATGGATCCTTTCCTGTCAAAAATGTCCCGCTGTTTGAAATGGCACTTGAGGCTTCGCTCCAATGTAATGATCCAAAAACAATTCCTGTTTAAGGACGAGCCTGCTTATCCAATGCCAGCAGGCTAAGAGAGAAATAATCCCAGGAAAGTGGAGTGGGAAAGTACTTGCCCTGGTCCCCAGGAAGGGAAACCAGCGGGGAATGGCGCCTGTAATATTTAGGCGTGAACTTGAAGCCAGACATTTAAAAAGGCGGGAAGGCAGAAACTCCTATGTTAAATGCCTGAGCAGTTTAACCAGCCACTGTTGCTGACTCTCCAAAATGTTAGACAAATGATCCTGTAAGGAGAAGTGAGCCGTAGCTGCGAGCATTCCGGCAAGATCGCAAAGATAAGATGATCGGGGAATTAGATAGGCTAATTGCCTGAAGTGGCTGTCTCAGACTGCCTGCGAAGTGGCAGGTTCCGCCAGTCACAAAGAACTGCTCTCAACTGATCGGGGTGATAACCTAATAGAGCCACAAGCCTTGAAATCACCAGATTAATAGGGGGAAAAAATTGCAAGCCAAATTAACCCAAGAGCAAACCTGAGTCTTGACTAGCTGAATCAGAAACCGTTCCAGTCAGGGAGTGCACAACCTCTTACCACGAAGGCTGAGCTAAAACTGGGGGATGCTGAGGAGGTGTCCCATGGAGGAGGAGGAGTGTCCCAGAGTTTTAAGCCCAGCCTTTCCAGAAGAGACTGAAGCACCTCCCACTTCTGGATGCTCTGAACAGCTCATGGGAGAATTTGCTGGGCCAGCCACTGTCAAATACAATCCTTACATGAGTACATCAAACTGGTTACAATATAAATGATACAAGAAAGAAAACATTACAATGGATTTCACATTACGATGAATTTCCACCCTCCCCCCATAATCTTTCTAATTGTCTTCTGGGGATTGAAAAGACTCTTTTAGTCTTTTACTGGTCCATCCCAAAGTCCTTTCCTTCATGTCTCTGATTGGCATAGGCTTGGCCTGGTTTTATGAGTGGTCAGTCAGGCTTGGGAAGGTCTGCCCCACTCTGGTTTGCTGTAATGACTTTCAGTGGAGGCTGGATCCAAACCCAATTCTTTGGCTCCAATGGATGGAATGTCTCTAGGGAGCAGCATCTGCTTCCACATGTTGCAGGGCTGAAAGAAAAAGAACAAGGGTCCCCTCCCCACTTTGCTGGTAATTCTACAAGGAAAGGCTTTTTGAAAAAGGATTAGAGATTTGGGGCGGGGGGGGGGGGTAGATAGCTTGCAGACATGGTTTGAGGAGGAAGGAAAATAACACATCAGTACTGCAGTTACTAAACAGATAAATCAATTTCAACAAAATGGAGACACAACAGATTGTCAGCTCTGAGATTCAGCTGCCAAGATTGTTATAAGGAATGCAAAGGGGGTGGAGGAGTTGGAAGGTTCAAGGTTATTTTGTATGTCGCATTAAAAAATTCTAGCTGCAGTTAATTGGTTCTCGTGATTAATGAAGTGTAAGAAGTGGGAGGAAAGAAGGTGGATTTTGTGAAATGCGCTGAAAATGACTTTCAGTTTGGAAATTGAATAGAAGTACCAGAGCTGTTCCTAATAAATCAGTTGGAGATTATACTTGTCTCGGAGTGATTGATTACAATGGACAATTCTGGATGCCTAACACAGATGAGAAAGGAAAAAACTGGATTCACATACTTCAGGAAAAAGATTTAGGTTTAAACACACAGTAAATGCAAGGATGAAACTTTTTTTGTAAATGAACTTAAAACATTCTCTAATAACCTTGGGTTTTTCTTAAAAGCACAGAGAGGAGAGAAAATTTAACTCTGTTCCTCATCCAGTCTAGTTGGCTAGACCAGACTGGGAGAAGATATTTTCTCTCAGTGTTTTTAATTCTTAAGAATTTAAAAATCATATCTGAAGGGATCAGAGACACTTAACAGTTGCAACAGTTACCTCGAGGACACACAAAGACTTAGACACACACACACACACACACACACATGCACACACACACACACACACACAGAAACAAGGACAAAACTCTGAGATTTACACACACACTGATCATTCCCACAATAAATCTCAGTTAAATTGGGGAAGGCACAAATCTTAAGGAACAAATCATGTGGTTGCAGAGAAGACAGAGAAAGAGACACAAATAAAGAATAAAAAAAATCCCATGTGATCCTGTTTTATATATTGTCCTTTTCTTTCATTTTTCTTTTCTTTTTCTAAGTACCTTTATTTACCACATTGGTCTTCCTGTATCCCTCAGCAAAGCCCATTCTCTACTTATACATTTTGCATTTGTCTTGCTCATGTCAGCTAGGGTCAGCATCTGCCACTCATCCTAAGCCTCCAACAGCTCTCCCAGGGGGGTTCCACTCAGGGACCTCAAACTACCGCTTCCCATGTTCCCATGTACCTCTTCTTTGGCTTAGTTGAGTCAGTCATCAATCCAGTTTTTAGACACAAGAAATCCAAGAGCAAGGAAAAAAAAGGTGTCTGGGGGAGACTTTGGTTTAGTTAGTCATTGCACCTTGTACAATGACATCAAACACTATCTTTTAAAAAACACAAAAAACTCTCTCTTTTCCACAAAGTATTCCACAAAGTATTCCACAGAGTATTCCACAGAGTATTCCACAAAGTATGCACACTCCCTTTAAAAAAACAAGAGACTCAGTCTCTCCCTCTCTTTTCGCCATGGTTTTCGGACTGGGGGTAAGCTGCCTATGCAGACTTCTTTCCTCTCCCCCCAAAAAACAGTCCGTGAGACTCTCTGCCCCTTGCAGATAAGTACTGGTACTCCGCCTCTTTACCTTCAGGCCCACGTTTAGCGGATTTGGAAGAACTCAAATTCAGAAATTCGCCTTCCTTCCAAGCAGCCTTTGAGCTCAACACTCAAAACTCTTTTAAAACCTTTTTTCCAAATGGCCAAGGTCCAGGAAAACTTACCCACAGACTCAATGGGTCTGCTTGCCAGCAAAGGAATCTTATCTGGTCCTGGTCCATTGGTTAGGTTAGCTTGGAGTCCCATCTGCTTGGGTGCCAATTGTTGGAAGAAATATCCTTCTGGGTTCAGTTCCAAGTGAGGAAAGAGACACTGTAAACATGGAAGCTGTTTGGAAGTTTTAATGGTGGATAGGACCACATGGCCTGGAGCTCCAGAGTGAAAAGGGAGGATGATCACATGCTTCAAGGTGAAAGAAGAGATCAAGAAAAGGCTGAGGTGCTGAGAGTGCCTGGGTTTTATAACCTTTGTTGGGATTTGAATTGGAGCTTGTTTCTAATTGGTTGTCAGACTCCCTTGAGGCCATGCAGGGGCAACCATTAAACTATTTTTCCAAATAGCCTCCATGTTTCCAGTGTCTTTTTCCCCACTTGGAACTGAACCCAGAAGGATAATTCTTCCAAGAAAATGAACAGCAATTTCAACTCCTCCGAATTTTCCACCTCCTACTTGTTCCTTTGTTAATAGAATTTGTTTCTACTAAATAATAAAAGAAGTCTACTTGCACTACAAGTGTGCAATTTAAAAATATCTAGTTATGGGATATAATATTTGGATTACTTATGATCAAACTGGTTTCTGGATGCTTTTCCTTCTAAACAAAACTTCTGCCCCACAGGGAATCCTTTCTTCTGACACTGGCCAGACAGGCAGCCAACCTCCTGGACAGTGTCACAAAACAGCGTGCGGCTGCAGCCTCATGTCCCGAAACATCCATCCCTCTGCTATCAAAGTGGATCCTGGGCACTACACTGCAAAGTAGAAATCGGAAATGGAGTGGCCAGCATGAGGGAAGGGGGAGGAGCAGGGAGAAGTGAGGACCATTCCGTTGCCCTTTTCACTATTGCCACGCCACGGAGCTTACCACCACTGCCCAGATTCCTCATCTCCCCCAAGCAAGAGAAGGACAGGGTGAAGAGAGGTGGCTCCATTGCCATTGCAGTGCCACGGAGCTTACCCCACCCACTACCACCCAGATCCCTCACTTTCCCTAAGC